AAATGGGGAAAATAGTAGAAAAAAGACAAAGTTAATACACCAAAATATTGATATTGATTATCTGAGATGAAAAGAGAAGATATGGAAAATTCATTTGGTTTTCCTTTTTTTTTCTAAATTCCCCATTACGATCAAGTATTTATAATAGAAAAAAACATTCTTTGTAAATTAACTTTATTGAGATATAACTTACATACAATAGAATACACCCATTCTAAAAAGCAGTAATAATAAATGAGAGTGTCTATTCTCCATAATGCTTTGAGGATTGAATGGGTTAATGTACGTCAAATCTTAGATGGTGCCTGGAGCAGAAGTGTTATTAAGTGTTTGTTCAATAAATAAGCTAAAACCAGCCTGGCTTCCTCCTCTTCCTCCTCCTGCTCACCTGGCCTGGACCCCCCTCCTCACTCCCAGCACTAAGCTTGGCAGATCCTCTGCCCCCACATTCACTGGTTCAGTGCCTGGGTCCACCTCATCCCCCAGCCTGGATTATTTCCACGCCTTCTCCCTGCACCCCAGAGGAAGCGCACTAACACCCAGATCTGGCCATGCCCTGGCCCCATCCCACAGCTCCGCCCTGCCCTCTACTAAAAGCCCTAGCTCCTCTGTGAGGCACGGTGTCTCAGCAAGCTACCTAATGTCTCCGTATCTTTGTTTACTTAACTGAAAAAGGAGTAAAATGAGTGTCCCCTCCTCGGGGCACCTGACTGGCTCAGTCAGTACAGCACGCAACTCTTGATCTCGGGTCATGAGTCTGAGTCCCAAGGGTGGCGTGGAGTTTACTTAAAAAAAAAGAAAAAAAGGGGGGGCACCTGGGTGGCTCAGTCAGTTAAGCGTCTGCCTTCAGCAGAGTACCCCCCTCAGAAACTTAGAGGATGCCATGAGGTACAGGGCAGGGTCCACAACCCAACCACCAGTGGCACCTCTCACCAGGCTCCCCCGCCTCCTCCGTCGCTGTTTCGACCCGTTCGCCCGTGAATGTGCCAGGCACGGTCCTACCCCAGGCCTTTTGCACTGGCTGTCCCTTCCACCTGGATGGCTCTTCCCCAGAAACCAGCCCAGCTCCCTTCCTCACTGCCTTCAAGACTTTGCCCCAAAGTCTTCCACTTAATGACCCCCCCAACCACCCAGTTTAAAACCGCAACCCAGCCCTTCCACTCCCCCTCACACGCCCAAAACATAATCCCTGTCTTTTATTTCTTCCACCCCATTTAACACCATTTGCTTTACTTATTGTTTATGGTCTTTTTTCCCCCTATTAGATTGTAAGTTTCTTTCGGACAGATTGCTTGGGTCTATTGTATTTACTGTCGAGACTCCTGCCTCCACCCCAGAAAATACCGAGCACAGTGTAGGTGTTCAATAAAAGCACAGCTAAATGACTCAATGAATGAATGTAAAGCACTTAGGACAGAATCGGGCAGGTGGGAAGTACTCAATATTATTACTATTATTATTATTATTGATTCTTCAGAGTGAGGCTCCCATGCCCTTCCTCCTCGACTTTTCCAAGCTTATAATCACACTGTCCTAGCCTCCACTATACCCTGCCAATTTCTCAATTATGGTAGAGAGCACAGGGCTCTTTAATTCTTTTTCCATTTAGACTGAACTGAATGAAATTGTCATTTCTTGTAAGTCAAAAACAGTCAGATATTGGCCCTTTCACATAGTTTAACCTAACATATTTCTCATGGCAACCTGCAGGACCCTAGGAGGCACCTCAAGGCCTAGTATACAATAGGTGCCCAATAAATGTTTGTTCACAGAAGTCAAGTCACCTATTCCTGGCCCTTCATAGTAGGTGTGATTGCAAAGCACCTCTAATCTGGTCTGAAGGAGGCAAGGCACAGTCTATAGACTTAAAATAACAAACAAAAGATCCTGCTGCACTCTTTTCTGGTCTTCCTGAAAAATCTCTGTCCCCTGATATCTGGCAAACAAAAATAAAAACAAAACCACACGCCACTCTTATAACAATCCAGGTTCTGGCCATTTGGAAGTAACAAAAGTTTAATGCTGAATGAAGCCACTTCCCAGGGAAAAAAGACTAGCTGCCTGTCTCTAAGAGGATTCATTTCATGATGGGGGAGGAAGGCTAGAACATTCTTTGGTTATCACCGTGTTCACTGTTCCAATACAGGCTTTAGTTACAGAGATCTGTTAGGTCCCCAAGCTGGGTTGTCGGAGCTGAAAGAAATTCAGCAATCACTGAATCTATCCCGTTTCACGGATAGGGAAAGTGAGGTCAGAAAGGGAAAGCGGAGGGCGCCTGAGTGGGCTCAGAAGGTTGGGCGGCTGCCTTCAGCTCAGGTCATGATCCCTGGGTCCTGGGATCGAGAAACTTGTGGGGCTCCCTGCTCAGTGGGGAGTCTGTGTCTCCCTCTCCCTCTGCCCCTACACCGTGCCCCCTGCCCCCGCTCGTGCTTGGCTCTCTCTCTCTCTCTCAAATAAATAAAACCTTTAAAAAAAGAAAGAAAGGGAAAGGGACGGAACCAAGGTCACACAGCAGGGTACATGAAGAGTTCATCCTGGAATCTATGCCTACTGATGTTAATCTTGTGAGCTTTCCTCTGGACCACATTGCTTTTATGTTGGCAGGATTCCGGCAGCTTTAATGCTACTATTTTTTAATGCTGTACTTTTCAAATGAAATGTTTATTAAACCTCAGATAAAACACCAAGAGCTTCACTATGAAAAAACTTGTTATAAATAACAGCATTGCATTCATCTCTCTCTATAGTTCCTTCCTCAGGGTAAAGTCCTCAAAGTAAGAAGTCTAGGGGCAAAGGGCAGTTAGAATCATTTTCCTGGACTCTTGTAACAGGCTGCCAGATTGCCCTGCAAAATTAAATGCTGCTGGAGAATTCCCACAGCCTTGCCAGCAGAAAGGTTTATCCTTTTGTATTTATTTTTGCTAATTTTATAGGAATAAATACAGGCTGCTTTCACTTACTATATGGTATGTGTCTTCCAACAAATAAACAAATACTCTGGTCTTGGAATCAGGATCCCTGGGCTTGGCTGCTGGTTTGCTGTGTCAACTTGGACAAGTCATGTCCCCTCTGGGGCTAGGGGATGCATATCTAGACAATGAGGGGGTTGAAGAGCTGATTTCTTCAGATCCCTTTCAGCTGGGACATGCCATAATTCCACAGTACAGTTTTAAATTATTAGCATAGGATGACTTTGTAATAGCCAGAACCTGCCATGCCCCTAAATCAAGCCAAAATGCTGAGCAGGAAAACAGAGCCCGGATTATACATACGTAGAGATGACAAGAGACTTAGGTAGCACTTAAGCATGTGTGTTGGAGCTCCATTCGAGTGACAGCACATATACTTAGGCTGCTTTTACGAGTGGGTAATAATACTCATTTGCGGTCTAGCTCCGGGTTCTGTGAGGCTCCACCATAACCAGAGGGCATGGTCATGGTCACACTGTTAGTCAGACTGAGAATCCCAGACTTGCAGTCAAAGGTAGTTCACCCCCAGCCAAGTGCTCATCCAGCCTCTGTTCACATCCCTCTGATGACACAGAGCGCACCACCTGCCCAGGCAGTAAGAAAGTTTTTGGGTGAGGGCAGGTCATGAAGTGGACAAGAGCAACCAGAAGGCCCAGATGTGGTTCTCAGAAACTACTCCCTCCATCAGGGCAGGCAACAGAAGAGGAGGAGGAAGAGGCACTGGAGGCAGGACAAAGGGCCTGGAGGGGGGCTCCTCTGGCTCCGCCCCTCCCCCCAGACCTCTAAGGCACTGCTAACCCAAAGGCCCTCCACAGGTGCGGGAAGTGCAGAGCCCACATTCCAGCCCTGATGCCGGTGGGTTCTGAACCAGCCCCAGGCTCACTGCTGCTTGCTCTGGGGCAGACACCCCAGCTCCAGCCTCTTCCCTCCGTTCCCTTTGGCTCTGGCAGGAGAAGCAGTGCTGGGCCTGGGGCTGTTGGGCCTGGAAGTGAGCGGACTGAAGGGACCAGATGATTGCCCCACAGTGGAGGAAGACGAGGAAGATGTCTGTGTGCCCAGAGCAGGACCAGCAGCTTCCAACTGTTTACAGAGTTAATGAGATCCCCATCTCCAACATCCCCCTTGTGTAAGGGGGAAGCAACACCTTCCAGAGGGGATTTTGCGGAGCCATTGGGCCAGATGCCAGAGGTCTTTTGTTTTGTTTTGTTTTACCCTGAGAGCCTGGAGCCACAGTCCCTCAGACACGTGCTCTGTCCCAGACCCAACCCCACCCAGACACAGCTCTCTTGGCACTGTCGCCCCTTGGAGGTCCACACCTGAACCTGATCCAGCCCTATCATACCTGGTGGGGCAGGGACGGGGAAGAGTCCGTTCCATACCGTTCTCTAAACCCTGGTGGGTTCATGGGTCTGGTCCAGGCCAGTCTGCAGCTGATGGTCCCATCACCCCCAACTCAGGGCTCCCCCGGCAAGGCTGACTTGGCTGGCCGGCTCCGACCGCCCCACCCTGCATGCCCAGGCGGGCTCGATGGGGAACTCGGGCTGTCGACCCCTCCTGCTTCCCGTATCTGGAAGCTGAGGCCCTGCCCTTCAACCAGTCAGGAGGGAGAGCGTCCAGACGGGTCCCGCGGGGGCACCCGGGCCACCAGCGGGGCCCTGTCGGGACCTGCTCGCCACACCCAGCGTGAGCGGCCCTCCCTGCGGGCAGGAGGGGTGGGCGGTGCAGACAGTGCCGATCCCAGCCCCGAGCCGTCGGGAGCCTGGACCCCTCAGAGCGGCCTCCCCCAACAGCGCGGAGCGGAAGGGGCTACCATTGCGCCCGCTATCCCAATGGGGAAACTGAGGCCTGGAGAGGGGCGGTGCTTTGTAAGGTCACGCGGGGGTGCCGGAAGCCTCGTCCCCCAGCGCCCCGCCGGGTCCCCCGCGGCGCGCCGAGCCCAGCATCCCTCCCAGGGCGCTGCAGCCGGGAGGCGCAGCGCACACACCTCGCGCGCACCGGGAAGGCACGGCTGACGGCGCCGGGCCGCCCTACCTTGATGACGACAGCGCAGGTGGCGGTGGCGGCCGCGGCGTCCGGCTCCGGCTCCGCGCTCCTCACCGCGCGCCGAGTGCCCGCGCGCAGCGCCGCCGCCTCCTCCCCGCCCCGCAGCCGGGAGGGCGGGGCCGATGGGCGGGGCTGGGGCTGGGGCCGGGCACGAGCCCCGCCCGCGCGCCCCGGGCCCGAGGGGCACCCCTCCTTCCCCACCCTCCCGACCGCGCTCCTGGCCCCCGGGATCCGTCTCCGGGCGCGCGCACGCGCACAGAACAGGCGTGCACACCGGCGCGCATACGCCGCAGCGATTGGGGCGGGCTGCCCGGCGACCGAGCGGAGGCTGGGGACAGGCGGACCCGCCGCTCCCTCGCTGCGTGCCACGGGGCAAGGAACTCGACCTCCCGAGCCTCCGTTTCCCCCTTGGCGAAATGGAAACAGTAACTGTTTCTGCGTCCGAGAGCTGTTTGAAAATTAGAGGAGACGACTTAATTTACCGGCCCGGCAAAGTGCGCGCGCAGAGCCCACCACCGGGGTGGCGCCTGGTAAACCCGGCTGGTAGAGAAATTCTTGAGGCTTCCCAGTCGGCGGGGAGGAAAAGAGCAGGGAGGGCGGCTCAGTAACGGGAGGACTCCGTTCTCTCGGCAGCTAGGAGGGGGCGCTGCCGCCCGGTCTCGCCGGCTCTGGGGTCCTGAGCACACTAGGCAATGGGAGGAGATGCGGAGGCCCCGCCTTTTAATAAAACTACCATCTCACACTTACTGAGCGAGGCACTGTTCTAGGCACCTTAAAAGCATTACCTCACTTTACCGTCACACAAGCCTGTGAGGTTACACTGTTACCTATTTTACAAATAAGAAAGCTGAGGCACAGACAGTTTAAGCACCTCGCTTAAGATCACACAGCTAGTCATCAACCCCAAGCAGCGCGGCTCCCAAGTCCAAGCTCAGAGCAACTTCACCACACCACCCCTCTTGAGCAAGAGCTCTTTGTTCAGTTGTGTATCTCGGAGCACCTAGAACACTAGCCAGCTCAATTTTGAGTGAATAACAGAGCATACTATGTACTTTACAAATATTTAATTTATTTTATTATTTTTTAAGATTTTATTTATTTATTTGAGAGAGGGAGAATAAGAGATAGAGAGCACGAGAGGGGGGAGGGTCAGAGGGAGAAGCAGACTCCCTGCTGAGCAGGGAGCCCGTTGCGGGACTCGATCCCGGGACTCCATGATCATGACCTGAGCCGAAGGCAGTCGCTTAACCGACTGAGCCACCCAGGTGCCACAAATATTATTTCATTTAATCCTAGTGGCCCTTTTACTTAGCTATTATTACCATTTTACAGGTTAGAAGATTGAGACTTAGAGTGGCCAAGTAAGTGGGGGCTCTTTTGAGTATCTCCTTGGAAAGAATAGCCAGGGCTAAAGACTGCAACTCATTCTCTGTTCACTGGGCCACTCCCCGCCCAGAGTCCCCTCCCGACTCGCCATCCCTACTGTGTGTGGCCTTCAAAGCCCCCTTCACCACCCCCCACACACACTGCTCAGACTGAATTTGAGCTTCAGGTATCAACATGAGTCGGATATTTGATGTTTCAGAAAAGCATATGGAGAAATCAGAATGTTGTGGGAGTTCCTTATACTTATGGCTCAATATTGCCTTTATTTTTAATCACTCCTGGGGGTGGGCACCACCACCTTTCCAAGGCTAAGGCATCTGAATGCCCTAATTCACCTAGGCCTTGGGCCAGTATCTTGGGTGCGTCCCCCCACCCCCCCACACACACCTCTGTGCCTTTGCGCACATGCTCTGCTGTGCCAGGAAGTCTCTTCCTACAGCATCTCGTCCTTTCTAAACCAAGGTGTCCTTCCTTCCAGGTTCATCACCTACCCAGAGAGCCTTTCTACATGCCCCGAGGATGTGTCTTCTCAGCCTTGTGTCTGCATCTTTGCCCCCCTGCGCCATGGTGGTGGGTGGCTGGGACTGTGCTGGGGAAAGACCGGTTTGGCCGGGACCTCTGGGGGCCATGGGCATAATATGGACTATTGGGAGGTCACTGGAGGCCTCTGCAGTAGACACAATCCAGGACCCTTTCTGGGGATGCTGCACATGTGCATGCCTGTACACCTGTGTGTGTGTGTGTGTGTGTGTGTGTTGGGGGGGAGATTAGAACAAATACCCTAATCTCTCCCCCTAATCCTGGTCCTTTTGAGGAAGGTCCTTTTGAGATTAGAACAAGGACCCTAATCTCTCCTCTTAATACTGGTCCACCCTCCTAACCATCCTATGAATTGCACACATTCTGAGGCAGAGCAGGGATGACCTGCCCAGGGGTCCCTAGTTAGAAAACCACAAAATCGGTTTGGCCTCAAAGTTGGGCCCATCTGCCAGCACCTTCTGTGGGGTCTCGGTTGATTGGGACAGGCCAGGAAACCGCCACCCTCTTCCTTCCCTGTGTGTCAACGTGGCCAGCTTTGTTTAATCTGCCACGTGTGGGCCAGTGCCTTGTGCAGGACCAGAATGTGTGTGAGAAAGGGTGGCACATTCTTCATCTACCTGCCCAACATGGAGCTTTCTGGGCAATATGGCCGTGCACTGGGAGACTGAACTAAGAATGAGGGAACGGCGGTGCCTGGGGGGGAGGTTCGGAGTGTGGGGAATGTTAGCCAAGTACAGGCGTTCTGTAGAAGTCAGTGTCCTCCTCCCACTTTGGGGCGGGGATGGGGGAGTCTTCCCTCCAGGTCCTTCCTCCTTTGAGGCGTCCCTTTATTCTGGGGATATTGCCCCAGGGAGGTTCCCTGGGCAACTCCTGTCCCCTCCCCTATCCAGTGCAGCAGGGATGGCAGCTTGCTGGGGGCCCAGTGTCTGCGAGAGAGAGAGAGAGAGAGAGAGAGAGAGAGAGAGAGAGAGAGAGAGACACGCTTTGAGCTGAGAGGTCCCATCTCCTGGGGTAGGAGGGTGGGGCTGTGAGGGATCAGATCCTCCAGCCCTAAAAGGCAGCAGCCCCTAGGGATGGGGGGCAACAGCTGTGGTGCAGGACCAGGAATCTGACACCAAGGGTGGGCCCCCAACACCCTTGGGGAAGAAGGGGGAGGGAGGGGAGGCAGTAGCAGCTACAGACCTTCTTGAAGTGTGACACCCCCACTTCCATCAGTCCCTGTTACAGCCTCCCTGTCAGGTGGATGGTTCTTCTATTTTCCTTTGCTCTCCCATGGGGCCCTACATCACTCAGGAAGCTATAGGCCAGGCTTGTTCTTTCCCCTGGATCCTTTGGTGTTTTAGGCTCCAGAGAAGTTGAGGTGAGCTGGATGGAATGAACCCTCCCTGGTCTTCTAGTTAGCACCTCTAAAGCTTAAGCATGGCTTAACCACTCAGCAGCTGTGTGGCTTTGGGCAAGTTAGTTAACCTCTCTGAGGCTTCATCTTCTTGTTTCTAAATTGAGCGTGGCCTGGAGTGAGCAGTGCTCTAGGACAGGCCATTCTCATTCCTGGCTCCAGCTCCAGCATTTCATTTCAGGGCTGGAGGAAGCTGGACCAGGGTCAGTCCTATGGTCTCCAGCCCTCCTGGTGCATCAGAATGCCCATGCCCCACAACAGGCTCTGTGTGGCACCCAGCACTGATATTCTTTAAAAGCTGCTTAGGTGAGTCTGTGGTGCAGCCAGGTACAAACCAGAGGTTACGGGGCTGGGTCAACCGCAAAGCACCAACCCCTTCCCCTAGTCCAGGAGGGGCAAGGTGGAGGCACTGAGCTGTGGGCAGAGCTGCTTCTCAGCCTGGGGGTGGGAGGGGAGATGAGGAAGAGGGAAGAGGGAGAAAGGAAGAAGGGTGAGGAGAACGGGCAGGAGGAGGAGGGGAAGGAGAGGGAGGAAGGAGAGGGAGG